ACTTATGTAAAACGTTTACTCTCAGATAAGCTTTCTCCCAAATCTGACAAATGTTTCTTCATAGGTTATCCTAAAGAAATAAAGGACTACTACTTTTACAACCGAAATGCGAACAAAGTGTTTGTTGCTCGAGATGGTGTCTTTCTGGAAAAGAATTTTATTTCCAGAAAGACAAGTGGGAGTAGTATCTATCTCGAAGAAATTCGAGAGGAGCAACAAATGGATGTGGATAAAACCACGTCAGAGATGCAATCACAAGGCAATTTCTTACCGATTAGGCCATTAGTAAATGAGGAGAGCTAGTGCTTGAAACGCACGATCCTCTCCTTACTACTAACAATGTGATGGAGGAATTGCATTCAACGCAAGAACCTCCTATCATCCCACTCGAATCAAATTCGTGCGAAATTTCTCAAATAGTTGAGAAGAACATTTTTCCTGTTGCTCAGCCCGTACGTAGATCTAGTAGACCAACAAGACCACCTAAGAGGTTTGTTGAACTTCTGTTAATGAAAAACTCTAAAATTATGATTTTGGACTAGGAAGAACCTACTAGTTATAAACAAGCCTTGACGAGTTCAGACTCCAAAAAATGGTTTGGAGCCATGAAATCCGAAATGGAATCCATGTCAGAGAACACCATAAGAAATAGGCCGGATTCCGACAAAAACTTTCCGACGAAATTTGGGTCTGTCAGAAAATTCCGTTAGAAAGGTAAGGTACGACGAAAAATCCTTCGGAAATATTCCGACAAATTTTTTTCCGACAGATATTCCGTCGGAAGCTGTAAATTCCGAGGGAAAAAATTCGTCGGAACAAATAAAACAACAAAAAAAAAACCAAACCCTAACTCTAGTTCCGACGGAATTTATTTCCGTCGGATTTTGAACCATTTCCGACGGAATTTTGATATTTTTTAAAAAAAAAATTAAAAAACAAATTCAAACCCTAAAACACGGAACTACCCCCCTCCCCCCCTTTCATTTCTCATTTCTCTCTCCTCTCCTCTTCTCTCTCTCCGCCTCTTTTTCCCCTCTCTTTCTCTCGTTTCTCTTTCTCTCTCCTCTCCTCTTTCCTCTTCTTCGATCCTCTCTTCTCTCTCCTGTTCTCTTTCCTCTTCTCCTTTGTCCTCTTCTCCTTCCTCTCTGTTCTCTCGTCCTCTTCTCCTTCCTCTCCTTTCTCTCTGTTCTCTTTCCTCTTCTCTCTTTCTTCTTCTTCTTTGATTCTTTCCCCTCTACTCCTCTTCTTCGATTCCACCGTCGCGAGCCAACAACCATCGTCAAGAGTGTAGATCTAGTTATTTTTAATTTGTATGTAATTTTAATGTTAAGTTTATAAATATTATTGTATATTTATATATTTCCTTTAATTTTCGTTGGTTAATTATCGTTTTTTTTTGAATTTTTTTAATAAAATTCTAATTAAGATGTAGATCTACTGGTTTAAATTGTTTTGTGTGGTATTTTTTAACCATGTTGTGTTAATTTTCGTATTTTTGGGGTTAATTATCGGTTTTTTTGGGCTTTTCGTATTTTTGGGATTAATTTCGGTTTTTAGGGTTTATTTTTTGAATGGTGGTGGTGTGTAGTGGTGTCAGTGGTGGTGGGGGTGGGGGCTGGTGTGAGTTTGGTGCTGGGTAAGTTAATGGTTGGGGTGGTTTCGGTTTGGTGTGGGTGGGGTTTTGGCTGGGGTGGTTTATGTGGGGGTTTTGGTGGGTGGTGAGGTGGGGTCTAGTGGGTTGGGGGGTGGCGGTGGGGTGGGTTGGGGTAGTGAGCAGGGGTGTAGGAAGTGGTGGATCTGGGTGGGGTAAGGGTTAGGGGTGGGGCTTTTTTAATTATTTTTTTTATTGACTTTTCCGACGGAAATTTCCGTTGGGAAATTGCGACGGAATTTCGTTTAAAGTCAAAACTAGCTCCGACATAATGGATTCCGTCGAAAAAGTGGCTTCCGACGGAATTTCCCTCGGAAAACGTCGAATTTCCTACAAAGGGTATTGCGACAGACTGATTCCGACGAAATTCCGTCGGAAGGCCGTTTTCCGACGAATTTTCCGATGTTTCCGACGGCAAAATTCCGTCGGAATCCAGCTGTTTTCTTATAGTGGAACCAAGTATGGAATTTGGTTGATTTGCCAAATGGGGTAACACCTATTGGATGCAAATGGGTTTTCAAATTGAAAACTGACAAGGATGGAAATGTAACTATTTTCAAAGCTCGACTGGTTGCTAAAGGTTTTAAGCAAATCCATGGTATTGACTATGATGAAACTTTTTCACTGGTAGCGATGCTTAAATCCGTTCGAATACTTCTTGCGATTGCTGCATTTTATAACTATGAAATTTGGCAGATGGATGTGAAAACCTCCTTCTTGAATGGTTTCTTGGAGGAGGATGTGTACATGACACAACCAGAAGGTTTTGTAGATCCAGAAAATCCTACGAAGGTATGCAAGATTAAGAAGTCTATTTATGGGCTTAAGCTAGCATCTAGGAGTTGGAATCTTCGATTTGATGAGGCAATCAAAAAGTTTGATTTTCTCATAAGCGAAGAAGAATCTTGTGTTTACAAGAAAGAAAGTGGGAACAACATAGTCTTCTTGGTATTGTATGTGGATGACATACTTCTCATAGGAAATAACATACCAATGCTTGAATCTGTCAAGGAGTGGCTGAAAAGTTGTTTCTCTATGAAAGACCTAGGAGAGGCCGAATACATTTTGGGAATCAAAATCCATAGAGATAGGTCTCGAAGGATGATTGGACTAAGTCAAGAAACTTATATAGATAAGGTTCTTACATAGTTTAATATGGAAAACTCTAAAAGAGGATTCATTCCCATGCAACATGGCATATCGCTAAACAAGACTCGGTGTCCAAAGACATCTGATGAGACTAAGCGAATGAAAAATGTTCCTTATGCATCTGCTATAGGATCAATTATGTATGCTATGATTTGTACAAGGCCAGATGTCTCATATGCTTTGAGCATATGTAGCAGATTCCAATCAAATCCCGGGCGATGCGCACTGGAGTACAGCTAAGAACATCCTTAAGTACTTAAGAAGGACTAAGGATAGTTTCCTAGTGTATGGAGGTGAGAGTGACTTAGTTGTTAAAGGTTACACAGATGTAAGTTTCCAAACTGACAAAGATGATTTCCGATCACAATCTGGTTTCATTTTTTGTCTAAATGGAGGTGCAGTCAACTAGAAAAGTTCAAAGCAGAGCACTTTAGCAGACTCTACAACAGAAGCTGAATATTTGGCAGCAGTTGAAGCGGCCAAAGAAGCCGTTTGGATTAAGAAATTCCTCATTGAATGGGAGTTGTGCCTAAATTGTGAGTGGAATTGACTTGTACTGTGATAATAATGGTGCAATTGCTCAGGCAAAAGAACCAAGATCACATCACAAATCTAAGCATGTGGAAAGGAAATTCCATTTAATTCGAGAAATTGTTGCTAGGAAAGATGTCAGAGTTTGCAAAGTTCATACGAATGAGAATGTCGCTGATCCATTGACTAAACCCCTACCACAGCCAAAGCGTGAAAGTCACGCTAGAGCTATAGGAATCAAGCATGTTGGAGAATGGCTTTAGATTATGTAATTGATTTTCATAACTGTAAAGACATTGAATCATGTAATATTTATGTTTATTAATAAATTATTCTTATTTAATTGTGGTTTAGAATTAAATAAAATGTTCAAAGTAATTGTAATTTTATAGGTTGTCAAATGCGTGATTTGACAAATGAAACCCTATTAGGAGAACATACATTATAAATTACTAGTGTTCCTAGTCTGAGACAATGGACATAAATGGCTCAATCAAAAGACTAGTATGTGGATTGATTGATAGCTCAGTTTCATGAGCTATAGGGATATAGAGATGTTTAGTCGACTACATAGATATGCATTGTGATGTGTATGGAACAGACCAAAATTGAAATAAGATTTCAAACTTATAATTAGTGGATTCCTCAGACATGAGAATAACATTCTTCCATGAGATACTTGGTATATCCTTGATGATGTCAAACGCCGTGCCGTAAAAGGAGGTAATAAAGGCAGTAATCAGGAATGCTAAAAGTTTAGTGGGAGTATTGGTTGGACAAGAATGTGCTCAAGTGGATTAAAGATTTAATCACTTGTTTTTACAGTTCCTAACTCAGATTTCAAGAAACAATTTGAATCTTAATATGGATGACATAAGATGTTATCATATTATCAAATTTGACATTAAGTGACTTAAGGAATTTATGGTTACACACTTGTTCTAGGACAAGTGGGAGATTGAAGGAAATGTCCGTCGATCAAGTGTAATTACTAATTGTAATTAGGACAAATATAGAGATTAATTATAATCGGTTATTTTAGGTAATCATAATGTTTTGCTAGAAACCAACTATGATTTGTGAACTAATGCGATTAGTTTACTACTAATAATAATCCGGTCCTATGAGGTCACACATATGAGTATATGGTTGAATTAAGATGCATGAATAGGCCTTAAAGCCTAAGAGATGCGATTATGTGAAGAGTTGCGATAGTTTATTATAAATATGACTAAGTGACATAAATGAAATAACACATCTTTCACTAATCACAAATACTTCTCTCACACATAACCACCAGTAAAAGCAATAAGGAATTGTTCCTTATTCCGTACTAGCATACGTGGAGATTCAACCATTTCTCGTGGACCAATATTAGAGGAACGATAATTGACGTTTTAAAGATCTCTAATTGAAGAAAGAAGTGCCCTCCTACTTTGTGGAAATCACGGGTATGTTATACTAATCTTATCATTCATATTATTATATGCATGAGATCCTGTTTTAGGTGCTAAGAAATTGTTTTTTGAATTCCGCTATGTGCATTTAATATGTTCCTATAATCTAATCTGCTCTGCTGCATCCCGAAGCTCAAAAAAATAGGGCCTAAGGGTTTCTTTTTAATAAAACTTGTTACCCATCTGCCAAAATTAAAAGAAGAAGAAAAAAAACAAAACGGTAGAAAGAAAGAGGTGATTGAAGAAATAGGAGAAGATATTAGATAGGTCAATCCTACCCAGCACGTGATTTTCTTTCTCTCTTCCTCATCATCTTCCACTTCCAGAGACATCGAGGAAGAACATTGTCTCTGACTAAGGTAAACGACGACTACCTACCTTCAATTTGAACCCATCTTAATGCATTCATAAATCAATCACCTTTTAATTCCTCTGTTTTTTCTTCAATTTCATAATATTGAAGATCAATTTCTCACCGTTGATTTTGGCTTGATCTTCTCTCCTCAGCCATGCCCTCCACCGTACGATTCACCTCCATCTTCTTCTTCCTTATCTCGTTCATATTCTCTCTCTTATCTTCACCATCTCTCGCTTCTGAGTCAGATCACAAGGTTGGTACTTCTTACTCGCACTCCACTTTTCCTTCCTTAAAATTGAAATTAATTGATTTCTTGGCTGTGTAGTCATTTTGATTTGATTTTCTGACATGGGTTTTTGATCTTTTGTTTTGATATTTGATTGAGCTCTGATTGTTTATCTTAAACTGGGTTTTAGCTTTAGATCTCAGTTTATTTTGCTGATTTTGTGTTTGTTCTTGTTGATGTATGTTGAAATTATGTTCAAGCGTAGGGTTTATGTTAATTTCACAAATAAAGTTGATTGCATTATTGTTTTGTTGAATTCATAGATACCCATTTTGCGTAATTGGAAAATTGTTGAAACTTTGGTGTTTTTGGAATTGGGGTTAGGTTTCTATAGATATTAAGTTGCTGGGTTCTGGCATGGCATTTATATAGCTTCTTGAGTGATGGGGGATCAAAATGATTGTTTTTCTTTGTGTTTGGGATGAAGAATGAAGAAGCAGGCATTGAGTCCTGGTCACATACTCATAAGTCACAACACCACATCACGACTTTGTTGTAAAAATTGTTGAGCTATCGTGATGGTGATTTTAGTCCGTCAATTTTCAGAATCCATCCACATTACCCTTGAAAGTAATTCCAAGGCTGCAATCACGAATATTATGATGGAGACTGGTCTGCCTTCAATTGTTGTTTATGTTTGATTCTTTGAACCATGATGAAGATATTGTGTGAGATGGACAGTCTAAGAGTCAAATTACCTTCTAAATGGTGAAAAATATGTTTTGGGGTGTTGGGACTTGGGAGTGTGTATTTGAAGTTCTTCACCTTTCTGTATTTACAGTGTGCTTGTAAACACTGAAATGGTTAACATCAGTGGAGGAAGTAGAGTGACTTATGAAAGCCAATTTCTTCCCTTTCTTATCATGAATTCATGATTATAACTTGGATAATGATCAACATGAAATAAATTATTAAGACAGCTTAATCATCTTTGAATTTACAGTGTGATCTTTTGTTCACAGTTTAAAATAGCAGAAATCATTGAATGTTTCTGATACTGCGGTCATGTTCAAAACTTAAAACCAAAGGGGATGAAATTAAACACCATGAACTTTTTTGTTTGCTAGGGTCATCTTCTATGCCTTCCTCAGTTTTTTTTTTTCTTCATGTTGTGTCTTCATGTCTTTTCTCTGTGCTTTGTTTTCTGTATCTCATGAAAAATTGATGTGCTTATTTAAAAAATTGTAGTATGAGCCAGATGAGAAGGTAATCCTGTGGGTGAACAAAGTTGGTCCATACAACAACCCGCAAGAAACCTACAACTACTTCAGCCTTCCATTTTGCCATCCAGAGGGCAAGGTTGCCCACAGGTGGGGTGGCCTGGGTGAGGTTCTTGGTGGGAATGAACTTGTTGACAGCGGAATTGATTTGAAATATAGAAGTATGTATACCTCAAGATTTATCTGAATTATGCATGCTAATTTCGATGCTTTTCCCCATATTTTCATCCCTCTTTTCCATGTTTAGATGCCCTCAATCCAGAAATTGCAAGTTCTGACATCTATAACATTTCTTTCTGGCAGAAAATGTTGATAGGACTTCCATATGTGAACTTGAACTTGACCAGTATAAAGCAGCACGATTCAGAGATGCAATTGAGAATTCATATTGGTTCGAGTTGTTCATTGGTATGTTAATTAGTAAAGTTGTCACTGAAATCGTAGCATTGAATTCTTTTCACATCTATGCATTTAAGTCAAAAGAGGTTTCACATTGGAATTTGACACTCTTGTCTCTGCTATATCTATCTTGTTTGCGTATTTCCTTATCACTTTTTGGCTTGACTACTCTATGCTGACATTTTGCTATCTCTTTGTTGGTACCTGGCTGCTCAATGCACCTCAGATGATTTACCTCTGTGGGGTATGTCTGTAACATCTTTATTTCAGCTATAATTGTAAAATGGTTCCTTTATTCATATTAGCTTGTTAATTTAATTACTAATTGTGCAGGTTTTGTGGGAGAGCTTCGTTATGATAAAAATGGGGAGAATGCTAAGCACGTAATGTACACACATAGGAATTTCATCATAAAGTATAATGGGAATCATGTAAACTAATTTTTTTCTTGATCTCTCTTGATTGATGTTTTCTACTTTTCTTTCTTTTCATTTTTAGTTTTTACAAGTCAAGCTTTTAACAACACCCGTGTGTGCAGATCATCCATGTTAATCTTACCCAAGATGGTGCTAAGGCAGTAGAGGATGGAAAGGTGTATGACATGACATATTCAGTTAAATGGATTCCAACAGATGTCACCTTTGGCAGGCGTTTTGATATCTACTTGGATTACCCCTTTTTTGAGCATCAGGTTCTTTTCCACCTTTTTCTGAACTATATGTTTGGTATACAGCAATATCGATGGGACAAAACGAGAATTATCTAAATAATAGTATTTGCTGATCTTAAAAGTAACGAGATTTTAATGTCTTGTAAAATTTAATAATTGGCTTCCCTCCTTGACCCACATAAAAAATGGAAGAAAACACTTTTTCTTAAAACGGATGCTTTGCTTGTTGCAGATTCATTGGTTCTCCATTTTCAATTCCTTCATGATGGTCATTTTCTTGACTGGTTTAGTTTCAATGATATTGATGAGGACTCTTAGAAATGACTATGCTAAGTATGCAAGGGAAGATGATGACCTAGAAAGCTTGGTAAGACTTCTTTTATATTAGGTGATTTTATGTGCTCCAACCACTGGGGACTTGGGATCATGCTAAAGCCTAATATACCGTGGATTATTAGGAAAGGGATGTTAGTGAAGAGTCTGGTTGGAAACTTGTTCATGGAGATGTTTTCCGGCCTCCTCGCTATCTAGCTCTGCTTACAGCTGTCATTGGCACTGGAGCTCAAATGGCAACTCTTATTCTCCTTGTCATCCTTTTGGCAATTTTCGGAACATTGTACATTGGGTATGCTCTCTCTCTCTCTCTTTTTTTTTTTTTTTTTTTATAATATATACGGTAAGATATACTAGGAGCCCCCTCCTATCACAGGAAGGGGGATGAGGATCGAACCTCCGTCACTGGGGGGAGGGGGATAGAGGGACTAACCATCCCTCGTCCCTCCACTCCTAGATCCTCCATTCGGTATGTTCTTATGTACATAACTCTACCATATAAATTATTCTATATTGCAATGCAAGACTCTGCTTATCATTAAGAACCTATGCTGATTAGGCAAATAGTTGCTACTTGAGTGCATTTATGTGTTAATGTAATTCTTCAGTTAACGTGTCCCTTGCATACGTAGTGAAGACTAGTATGTTTTAAAAATGTAATTCCTTTTTTAATACTTTCCTTGGTTTCGTAGTGAATGCCCATAGATGAGTAATATATATATATATATATATATATATATATATATATATATATATATATATATATATATATATATATATATATATATATATATATATATATATATATTATTCAATCCTATCGATTTAGAAAATAATTTCTGAATGTGCTTTGTCTTACAGGAGGGGAGCTATAGTCACAACTTTCATTGTGTGTTATGCCTTGACATCATTCATATCAGGATATGTCAGTGGTGGAATGTATTCACGTAATGGCGGTATGTTGCAAATCATGCTTGCTTGTCACTATTCTTTTGCTCCTATCAGTTTGTGCTTATTCTTAGCTATGCTCTATTAAGGTTATTGATGACTCCCCTCCTTTCTTGCTTCAGGTAAAAACTGGATAAAGGCAATGATTCTTACTGCTTCCCTTTTCCCGTTTATGTGCTTCGGAATCGGATTCATTTTGAACACAATCGCTATATTCTATGGATCTCTAGCTGCTATTCCTTTTGGGACTATTGTAGTAGTATTTGTCATTTGGGCTTTCATCTCCTTCCCACTTGCACTTCTTGGGACAGTTGTCGGAAGAAACTGGAATGGTGCACCTAATAATCCATGTCGTGTGAAGACTATTCCTCGACCTATTCCAGAAAAGAAATGGTATCTAACGCCATCAGTAATATCACTAATGGGGGGATTGCTACCCTTTGGAAGTATTTTCATTGAGATGTATTTTGTCTTCACGTCTTTCTGGAATTACAAGGTAACTGTTCCTATTTACTTCATGTAGTTTCTTTAGTAGTTGTTATTTTATTCTTAAATATTCCTTAAATGCTTAGAGGTGTTGATTCTGTCTTTGAAGACTAAAGACTCTAAACCCTGTTCTGACCTCACGTTTGTGGAGGTACCCTGAGGTATTATAGTTATTGTTATACAACATCCTATGAAAAATGAGTGTATCTTAAGGGTTAGAATGTTGTTTACTATTGGAGGTTGTTGAGGGATATTTTCCTTTTCTTTTCTATTTTTTCTCTGTCATTGTTTTGCTTGCGTGACATTTAAATGGGATCATGCTCTGCCTCTTGGGGAAGGGGTGATATGTTTCGGTATACATGTTTCCCTTTGTGAGTCTTTTGAATTTTTAATTTCAATATTCCTATTGTTTGGTTCATGACCAACAGAATCAAGAATCAGAAAATAATGGAATGACATGAAAACCCTTCAGTTCTTCATTTAGTTTGGTTTACGAGAAAGGTTTCTAAACCCTCTGTTGTTTTTTGTTGGGTGATCAATAACAGAGGCTCTGTACCTTTATTCCCTCTCTTCATTTTTTTCCCATCCCTGAATGCTCTCTTACTCTCCACTGTGACCCTGCCCAGTAACCTGTGTTGCTCATTAATTTCTCTCCACCGACATCCATTTCATCCACTTCACCCCTGCCGCATCCAATTTTCAGCGCTCTTTCTTTGTTATAGTCACCGTTTTCCCTGTGCCTTCTATCTACAACTCTTGTTGGCTTCTGTTGCAATGCTGCTTCATAGAGGTTATTTTTTGTGGTCAAGTTTAACCATCTAATGCCATATTTCTACTGTGAATCAGTGTTGTGGGGATGACCAGACTGAAAATTGGGGGAATGGATTAACCAAAAAAATTAACCTAATTCCATAAAATAAGAACAGAGGTCTTGACACCTTTCCCTTTCTTAATACCAAGTACTGAACAGCCCCTCAGCTTTTGCCCTATTTTGATTTCAATTATCTCATTCTCATCTTCAAGACTACAAGTAATAAATTGCCCTCTATCACAAACAAAAGAGCTCATTCACGCATCTCCATCTAGACTGTAGTGGTTAGTGTACTGGTCACTTACTATGCCAGACTGCTACCCCTATCTTATCCTAGCAATCAGCCCGCCATCGTTCTCCACTCTGGCCACCATGCCCGTCTATCCCACTAATTCCACTCATTGTTCCACTCCTCCCATCACTCCTCTTCAATGTATTTATTACCATCACTACAACAGTGAATTTTGTGGGGGTGAATTAAATCTTACCCTCCCACAGACCAGCTCCATGCTCAGCTAAGCTCGCAACAAATGAAATAAAAAGAGTGAGCTAGGCATGTGAGTGAGTGGTAGAAGCTGGAACAGATTCAGTTCACGAACTGCTGATTCATGATTTACACCTCTCTCCGGCGCTTCTTAACAGTTGACTGCAAGATTAGCACTTTCTTCCGTTGTTTCAGGACAAGCCAAGCCTGGATCCGGCTGAAAAACAGAATGGAATACTCTAAGATGTGATCCAGGTAGCGGCAGGCTCCAATCTAATGAAACCCCGCGACTTTCTCCGGTTCTTTTGCTACCGTGGGCTTTACGCAATCGATCGGATCATATAGATATCCCTTTAACACATAAATTGCTGTCAAAGCAAATATAGATGAAATATCTTCCTATCAAGAGCAATCGCCTTGGATATGGGAAATATTGCCTAGTAATATCATTACATAATTTATGTAGTGGTGACAAATTGACTGTTTAGTTCCGGTTTGGGTTTGGTTCCGGGTCCATTTGGCGAAGAAGTCTTTTAGGTGTATTGCCAATTAGCTTTTAGTTGAAAATATTTTCACCTATATACATTTTCAGGTTGAGTTGATTTTTAGGGTCTTCCAGTATTTGGTTTGGGTCGTTCATAGGTCAATATTGTCAGGTCTACTAAATTTATCTTCACAGTAAACCCTAAGAAAAAAAATCAGCAACCATAATATCAACCGCTGCAACAGCTGCATCCTTTACTAGATGTTATAGAGAGAGAAAAAGGTTCTAAAGGGTGAGTAGATGTCCCACAAGTCCACAATCATGTCCTAAACCGGTGCTAAGCTCGCCTTCTGCTGCACGGGAAGGTAGTTTACTTGCTTCATCAATAGGAGAACATTTTCTAGGGGAAGTACCAATGCTTGAGTACTTGATCTGGGGGTTTGCTTGCCTTCCAAAATGGAGAGGTGCTTGATGCATCCTCAAATGGAGAGGTGTTTGTTGGATTGGGCAGTCAAGTTCCAGACTTAGAACCTCTGGCCATTTTTGACCTCATAAGACTCGACTGCAGTCAGCTGTGAAAATAAAGTTGAGATAGACCCATAGAGGATTGAGGTAGGGTCTGTCATCACTCATCAGAGTTGGGGGAATCTGAGAGAGTGGGGGAGCTGTGGTGATATGTAAGTGTTGGTGACATGAGGTGATTGTGAGGGAGGCTCTAAGACTTAAGGTGCTGTTTGGGTTGTGGGCCCAAAGCCGAGGATGGAAGTGAGAAGAGAGACAAACATGCAGTGTGTACTTCCCTTTTATTAAATCATGCTACAAAAGTTTATTTTTTCTCTCTTTTACTTTGCTTTGTTGATTCATATCCCTTAACCTGTGTTAATGTCCGCTTCTATTCTCCATGTTACTTATTATGGTGCTTTATATAATCTTATGGTAGTGATCACTATGCTGCGGTATATATTTTATGTATGTGCATCCTCTCTTATGGTTATTTGCTATGCCCCTTTCAGGTGTACTATGTTTACGGCTTCATGCTGCTTGTTTTTCTGATCTTGATCATTGTCACTGTTTGTGTGACAATCGTGGGGACATATTTCTTGCTGAATGCTGAGAATTACCATTGGCAGTGGACTTCATTCTTCTCCGCTGCATCCACTGCGATTTATGTCTTCCTGTATTCTATATATTACTATCATGTCAAGACCAAGATGTCAGGCTTCTTTCAGACCAGCTTTTATTTTGGCTACACAATGATGTTCTGTCTTGGCTTGGGAATTCTTTGCGGTAGGTCCATGCTATAATCTGAAACTGTGCATAGTTTGGTACCCTTCTTGTTCCAGTTTAGTATGTATGTCGCTTACATGGGAAACTATGCCATTCATTGATACCTTCACATCTATTTTATTGGTGGTTCGGTTTAATTGTCAGTTGCCTGTGAATTTGGATAGGTCTTTGTTGGGGTTGTGATGGCCATGATGTATGCCCTCTGTTTCATACATCTTTTTTGGGTTTAGTTGATGAAATTTAGGCCTTTTCCAAGTAAAGTTGTTTTTTCATTTTCCTAATCTATTGTTGGGGACCAGGGAGCTCAAACAGGGGGGGGGGGGGGGGTGCATGGGTAGTCTAAGCACAAAATTCGAATTGGTCAAGCTGGCTCCTTTCTTACACCAGAATGGAGCTCTTGGGGTTTGACCATTTGAACACAATCCTGCCAGACAGTAAAATAAGCCAATGAACCAGTTTGCTAAATTGTATGCTGTATTGTTTCATTGGTCGGTTCTGTAGTTGCCTTTTTTCTTTCTTCTATTGCCACTGGAGAAGTAATCAGATACGAGTATATGTTTCTAATATCCAAAAGCTTTTGGGGGAGGAAAATTGGAGTAAACTTTATGGGAATCCCGTAAAAGAAAAAAGAAAGGAACTTGAAATTCAAAAGGAACAAGGAATTTGATTATCATAAAATTGTACAAGACATCTAATTTTTAAGCCGCAATGATGCAATTATAGGTTTGTTTGTGCTTTGTCATCTTTTCAATGTTTCTCTTTTGGCCTTGTGCTATATTAACTTGTTTCTCAATATCAGGAGCGGTTGGCTACCTGGGTTCCAATCTATTCGTACGGAGGATTTACAAGAACATCAAGTGTGATTAGGTTAATCTTTTAATTGTTAAACCGTTCACCCTATAATCCCCTGTTTTGGATGATCGATGAAGGATGGGATTTGTACTCAAGCAGAAAAGATGGTGAGACAGAATTGGGCAGTTAAGAATAGTTTATAGACACTAGAACATTTGTGGGAATGTGCAATTTTGTTGGGAAATCCAAATTTTCGCTGTAATTTAGCCCCAATACTGGTCTGAGATGGTGGATCTTCACGTTGTGCTAGCTCTGAGATTGATACTTCTCTTTTTCACTTCACTTTAGTTCTATCTTCTAGGGCATAATATCGCGGTTGTTATTATAACTGAATTATTTTTTTTAGTTTTGCCCTTCTAAATACAGCTACTGGTGCCTTCTACTTCCGATTGGCGATAAGTATGGCTGTGGTAAAGTTGTTCAACGGGGTGGAATCGTGAAGGGTTCATTATGCTTTGATTCATTTGATTATGTCTTCGTATTTTAAGCTCTGTTTATATAGTATTGCAACATCTTGACTGACATCATATCTGGCATACAAAAGCAACACAACTTTATGCATTGATATCTTCTATTTTTTTACTACGTGTAGAGGTGTAGTAAACTTAGGAAAATTTTCGTAACATTGAATTTTTGTAAATGTCAAACTCTGCAAGTACTTATTCTAAGATCTTTTACTAAAATGGCTAATTTAGCAAAACTATTTACCCAAATGACTGTTTCTAAATTCCTACAGTAGCTAAATTTGAACTAACTACATTAAATTCCTTTATCCTTTTTTCTGTAGATTGATTTGTGATGTTTATTATTATTTTTTTTAATCAATTCAAAAAGTTCTAAATTTTGTTATGGTCGTATTAATTGGCACAACAATTGTTTGGAGTACAATGCAACTTGAAATTGGGGGTCAACTAAAATTACACATACAATAGAGGTGTTAAAACCACACCGGATCCAATTCGATTTAAATTTTGATTTGTATGGACACAATAATTTAGCATGATATAATTTTAAAAATTGAACCAATCCGACCTCATTGAACTCTATCCGAACACCCAAATTGACATCTCCGCGTGCAAACAAAACAAACTAAAGTGATGAAAAAAAGGAAATTAAAGAGGGTGACTTGGAAAATGGGAATGGTTGATTACATAGGACGTGCTTCTAACTTAAGTGACTAATAAAATTAAAGAGGGGGGAAAAAAACCAAACCCAATTTAAAATTAGAGAATCATGGTTCAAGCCATTCAAGTCAATATTTTAATCACTTTTGGAATTAAAATATTAAAATAGTCTTAAAATATTAAAATAGTCATTTGGGCAAATAATTTTATTAAGTTAGAGATTTTAGTAACAAATCCCCTTTTACTTTTGAAAAAAAATTACATTTATTTTCTTTTTTCTGGGTATATAAATTGGTATGTGATTCTTTGATTTGATCTCTATCATATTCAACTATGGGAAGAAACAAAAAATCTAGTGAAAAATCATAAAAATATGGTATAAAACATTAAAACCCCTTTATCTAGGTTCGTCAAGTATCTTATTTCAATACAATAACAATCTCATGTTTTGAATGATCTATTATGATTGACTGAAAAAGAAAAACAAGTCTAATTAGATTTGATTGGAGGATGGATATGGAATTGTTTGTATCTCTCTTTTTTTAAAATTGAAAAATTCCCAAAAAAATCTTAAATATAATTGATACAAGATTTGTTCTGTGAAAATGATATTTGTTTAATTATAAGAGTAATAGGAAAATTAATCTATATAAAGCCGGGCCCGTTTTATTAGGATACATAATTGGCGATCGTATAAAGACCGGCCCATTTATTTATAAAAGGGCAGGTTAGGGCTTTTTATTTTGAGGCTCCAACCCATTGAATTGTTTGGGCACCGATTAATCGCTCTCAACATTGCACTTCTCGCTCCCCTCTCTCTCCTCTCTGCCCAGTGTCTGCTTTCTTCACTTGCTGAGCGAGTTCTCCATTGAAGCGCACGCAACATCGCACGCGACATTCGCCACTAAAGCGCACTCATCAGTGCACTTGACGTTCTCCATTGACGTGCACTCAACATCGTACGACGTTCTCTATCGAATACTTGTATCCCCCATTGAAGCAGTTTCTGAGGTAAGTTGTTTCTTTTAGTAATCATTTTATCAATTCGCAATCTAGGGTCCATCTTTGATTTAAATTAATTAAAGTTAAGTTGGATAAGTTTTTTGAGAATATGTTATGTATACTGGAAAATGAAAATAAATCGATTTCATTTCAGATAATATTTAAACCTAAATTGCTTATTTCTTTTGCAGTTGCGCCAATGTCATTAAGAAGGAAACTTCAGAGCAATGCTGTTGTACACATTTGGGCATTGTTAGCTTCTGGTTTTTTCGCCGGAGCTGCTTATTTTCTACACAAAGTTCGTAAACATCGGATTGCGCAGGGCGGTTCGGTTAGTTTCTTTTATACGATGGAGCCCTAGTTTCTTGTAGTGAACGAGGGATTTGTTTCTCTTATTTTTGTAAATAAACCAACAACTTTATTCAACTATAGAGCCCACAATGAAAAAGTTTTTTATTTATTTACGAAAATGCCCACGAGAACAAATTTCGTTTCTCACCACGAGAAACAGGGAATTTCCCCTTTTATACTTAATAATATATTCTTAGTTTGTGTTTATAATGTTGGGTAAAGATGGATGTTTAACCTGTTGATAATAGTGTCAGTCAAAATCCGATCTTTTTGAAATCTATAACAGCAGTAGTATTTGTATACTTAATTACTTGTATTAGAGGATATATTGTTAATAAGCGATTATTTCAGAACTATTGTGAGTATTTAATAAGCGATTATAAGCAATTAATAAGCTTCTAAGCATCGGGTGCTCGTATCTAAGAAGAAATATATATCAATATTCTCAATCGCTTATTAGGGCTTTCAAACTCACAAATACTACTTAAGTTATACATTTACCTTGCTTTTGTGTTTCTTCACCAGCTTCCAATACCTAAACCATGCTTAAATAAAGAGAGTCCTCTGAGGGAGACTATCTATTGTAGAAACTATTTAAGGAGACAAACTATTGTGAAAATTGTTCAGGGACTTGAGTATATTAGCCCCTAATTGTTTACTGTATTACCTTTGTCAACATTTATTACCCCATAATCCATTCTCCCCTTGCTGAATATGGCCTTAAGTGAAACACAATCTAGATTTGAGGCAAATCAAGAGAATACTCTTGTTATGGATTTCTTAATCTAAAAGCTTGTGTTTGTATTTGCCAAATATGAGCATGGCTATATTAATCCATGAAGTATAAGCTATATGCCTATATTGCTCAGTAATATTAATAAAACTGGGAATTTTAGCTGAATCATCTTAGAAACTGCTTATTAGAGACTTAGAGGAGTTATGATGCTTATTCTTTGGGCTTAAAGCTGCTGTTAGTCAGCACAGCATGAGTAGAGAAGAGTATGGACATGGGTATGGTTCTGAGTAGTGAAGAAAAATATGGACTGGACAATTGGTCGGTAATGATACTTACCTTCTTTAAACCCTAGCGAACCTTGTTGACCATCAATCTCTCTATTCAGCCAAAATACTCAATCTAATGCCACCAACCAACAAGGATGGAGTGACAGTTGAGGTCATTAGTTTCTTACAGAGGGAATCCTCTGACACAGTCTCATTACACAGTTTCACATAAAAAGGAAAATGGTAGAAGGTTAGAGAAGAGAAATTGATGAGGATAAGATGAAACTTTTAAATAGAGAGGGTGGGGAACCAATCAAGAATTGAAAGGAGAACTGTTATTCATTGGAGAGAGCATAGCTAACCGTGTTTCATAAATTTTCGACCCAAAAATAACTCACAAAAAAAGTCTTATGAGACAGAATCTACGGGGACAGAGAGAGTATAGTTTAATTTTTTTTAAAAGTGGATTAAAATTAAAGCTAGTTTAATTTTCCTTATATGTAAAGAATTCACTCAAGTTTAAATTGTTAATAAGAAAAATTTATACAAATTAAATATTCAATGAAAAAGTAAATTTAAGAAATACTTCATTCGTTTTTTATTATTTGCAGCACATGGCCCGAATTTGGTCGGGTTTTGAGCATGGTTTTTCGGCCCGACTTAATTTTAAAATTTTTATGGGCGGGCTTGGAAATGCTATTTAAGTTGTTTTTTGGGCCTGACCCAATGGTCTAAGGAATGGGCTGATTTTTTTTGCCTCGTCCCGGTCAGTCCGCTCAATAATCACCTCTAAACACACGTTTTTTCACATTAGTTAAGAAAAGTGGGTTTCACATGTTTTTAGAATTTAAAATGGAGTCGAGAGAATGTTATGAGTATAAATAAGTGGGCCATGATGTTTAAATAAGGATAATAGTACCATTTTAACCAAAATAACACTCCAATTATAGTGTGTTGCAAGTAATACGACATTTTCATTTTAAGTAAGTGTTACAAGTATTATGACATTTCCATTTTAGGGAAATGATGCAAGTTTAAAACACGGAGAAAGTAGTAAAAAAATAAGCTTATCAAGTGACATACTTCACGAGATTTAATGTTTTTTTTCACAGGACATTCTACGAGATGTCTTGTTGTATGCGCTGCTTGTCGTGCTTTCAGGAGTACACATTGTTGTGTTGCACTTTCCACTTAGGCTTAGGAGGTCTCGGATCGCTCGGATGACTCCAAGTCCCTTTTATATGGGGTTAGGCTGCACGGTTACAGCTCTGGTACCTCTGGCATGCACCATTGACGGTAGCTTATCCGACGAGTTGATGATCCGTGATTCACTTTGGTTTACTATGTTTTTTACGGTGGACTTTTTTTGCCTTCAGATGGTCGTTCTTCCGGCTTTCGAGTATATGTTTGTTCACACGTCACTCTCGCTACTGCAGACGGTTGTGTTGAGCGTCACTCGACAAGAGGAGTTGCGACCTCTTTGGCTTTCGGTCACTGCATTTGGTTGCTTATGTTTTTTGGACCTGCATCATTGGCTGACGACACCTGCTCCTGTTCGTGATGGCCAGACGGTTATCATTGACCTTAGACTCGGACCGCAGTTACCTAATCTACCACCATCCGACGCTAGACAGCCGCCTCCCTCATCTACCTTGATAGAGGAGTGTCATCAGTTCGTGTTAGAGCACTATCACTCTATTGCCTTGAGATTAATGTATGTGATTATGCTTGTATTAGCAGTTCATTTGTTTGTTTTGTCTAGGTGGGAGCATTAGTACTATTGGTTATGATATGGATTGATTTAGTGTCTTGTAATTTCTTTTACAATGTTTTTTGCATGGAGAGTTTTTCATGAAAGTTTACATATATGTATATAATTTGTTTTTAATGGTTAAATATTTGCTATAATTTACTAGTGGATTGTTTTTTGTCCGTAAGTTGTAACACTAATAATAGATTAATCATTATCATCAATAATATAAAAGAACTAAGTTAATAGATCAACTAGATTGATGTTAGTCGACACACCTAAAATTTGATATATCCGACCATGTTCTTATCATCATTCGCCAAATATATTTAATATCTGCTAAAATGACTCAGACCAATACATCATTATTAGTGAAAAAAAGTCAAACATATCAATTATTTAGGAACAGGTAGTTATTCTTTTTTGCTGCAGAATTTATCAAGGTTCTCTGAAGGCCCAAATTAAACACATAATTGATAGAAATAACATAAATGTCTCATTTAACGTGTCCAATAATGTTAATTTTGAACTCAATAATGTAGATTAGACACGCAAAGTAAGGTATTTACGTTTTTTTGTCAATTTGGAGCTCAATTTGGATTAGGGACTAAAATGACCATCATATCAAAATCTTACTCGAGCACTTTTCTTGACAAATCAAGAAAATAGTTGTACGCTATCAATACATTTTTTAACACGCATACCAAGACACTTTTTTGCCGCTTACGAGATCAATTTGGATTCTTAAGGGTCAAAATGTCCTCCAAAACCTTAACGAAATAGTTTTCGACATATAAGTCAAGAAATAAAAATTTAATAGCTGAGCACTTACAAAAACATTAAGTGGTAGCAAATCCTTTTTTTTAATAACTTTTTTTCACTAATAATGGTGTATTGGTCTGAGTCATATTAGCAGATATTAAATATATTTGGCGAATGATGATAAGAACATGGTCGGATATATCAAATTTTAGGTGTGTCGACTAACATCAATCTAGTTGATCTATTAACTTAGTTCTTTTATATTATTGATGATAATGATTAATCTATTATTAGTGTTACAACTTACGGACAAAAAACAATCCACTAGTAAATTATAGCAAATATTTAACCATTAAAAACAAATTATATACATATATGTAAACTTTCATGAAAAACTCTCCATGCAAAAAACATTGTAAAAGAAATTACAAGACACTAAATCAATCCATATCATAACCAATAGTACTAATGCTCCCACCTAGACAAAACAAACAAATGAACTGCTAATACAAGCATAATCACATACATTAATCTCAAGGCAATAGAGTGATAGTGCTCTAACACGAACTGTTGACACTCCTCTATCAAGGTAGATGAGGGAGGCGGCTGTCTAGCGTCGGATGGTGGTAGATTAGGTAACTGCGGTCCGAGTCTAAGGTCAATGATAACCGTCTGGCCATCACGAACAGGAGCAGGTGTCGAAATAGTTTTCGACATACAAGTCAAGAAATAAAAATTTAATAGCTGAGCACTTACAAAAACATTAAGTGGTAGCAAATCCTTTTTTTTTTTGCGTTTTTGGTGGTTGTAAATTAAAATTTTAGATAGATAGTAAAAATCAAAGTGGTAATTTTTAGTAATAGTAAGTCACAATTTCCTATAATATAAGGTGTAATGCATCTTGATAGACTTATGTTTAAAATCACAATTCATTAGCATAGGATAGACGTGCTTAAATTAAAACATTATGTTCTACCCCATTATTTTTTAAAATGCTACACTTGCTTTATTCGACCGTTATTTTATAATGATGATACACTTCCTTTGTTGAAAATGCCTAACAATTTACTGACCATTAAAATCATATACAGTATTAGAAATTAGTAAAAATATAATATTATTATTTATAATGTAGGCAATAGAAATAATCAAGATGACCTCGGTTAAGGTTGCTTGAAAACCAACTGTCTAGCCCATTGCTGCCAGTAATTTAGAGATTTGTTAAACATCGCCCACAAATTACTACATAAAGCCCACAAAATTAATATGATTTGACAGTTTTGTCCCTTTGTCAATTTTCTCTGAAAACGAAAATTTCACTCACCGAAAAATGTGGAGTCGTACGGGGAGGCCGGAGATCCGGGGGACGACGAATGTCATCGGAAAAGACAGCTGGCGTCCGGAGGAGCCGCCACCACCGTGGCACCGGCGCCTGGCCGGGACGCCGCCACCATGGCGGTGGCGCTTAGCCAAGACGCCTGTACCATGGTTGAGGCTTCAAGGTCAGGCGCCATGACCATGGTACTGGCGTCCCGGCTAGGCGCCACCACCATGGTGGCGGCGTCCCGGCCAGGCGCCGGTTCCAGGATGGTGGTCCGGCCATTTTTTTTTTTATTACATTTGACTTGCTTAAAATTCAAAATAAAAAATTTTCTCAGTTACCAACAAAAAAAAAACAAAATATTAAAAAAAAAAAGAAATTTTTTTTTTCTCAATTTCCAACAAAAAATAAAACACAATATTACACAAAAAAAAAGAAAACAAAAAATTATCAATTTCCAACAAAAAAAAAACATGATATTACACAAAAATAGAAAAAAAAATCTCAATTTCCAACAAAAAAAAAATATTATACAAAAAAACAAAAAAAAAATTAAAAAAAAAATAACAAAACAACCACGGCAAGGTGGTGGGGCGCCTGGCCAGGACGGCCGATGGCTGGTGGTGGCGCCAGGTCCGGTAGCCACGTCCACCGGCCTGGCGTCTGGGCAGGACGCCCAGCCACAGTGACTGGCGCCTATCCCAAACGCCACTCACCGTGGCTGGGCGTCCTGCCCAGACGCAAGGCCGGTGGACGTGGCTGCCGGACCTGGCGCCACCACCACCTTGCCGCCACGAGCCACCACCACCTTGCCGCCACGAGCCAACCACCTTGCCGCCACGAGTCTCGACATCCCCGTACTTTGATTTTTATTGAGGTTGTGTTTTTTTTAAGGTCAAGGGCAATATTGTAACTTCAATATAAGTTTGCGGGCTTTATGTGGAGATTTGCGGGCGATATTTAGCAATCCACTAATTTTATCGATGGTGGAGACCATGAAGCTACTCAAAAGGCTACCCGTCCCAAAAACACTCAAATAGAGCGAAAGACCCACACTTCGTAGCTCGGTAGAAACTTGGTCATAGAAAAACTCCTGCAAGCCAACCATAGTGAAAACATCTGAAATACCAAATAGCACATACTGAGGGACCAGCCACCATACTCTCATTGGGAATGTAACGTTTGGCATATCAACCAAGCCGTGTTCTAGAGCAGTTTCAAGACGTTTCCTCTCAACTACAGCTGCAATTACCATTGAGATGGCGGAAATAAACATCCCAGTCCCTATTCTTTGTAGCATTGTTATTCCAGCAGGTTTCTTGGTATAAGTTCTTGCTATAGGAACTGTTTCGTTCAGAAAACAATGGGCCTTCGGCAGGCCCTTCTGATGAGTGGAGACGAGGCCCAATTCGAGTGATAACCGAATTGGGGATTTCCTGCACAGCAATGCAAACGTAAACTAGCCTCGGGGGTTGTGTCGAGGAAGGCCCCTCTGATGCCGAAGTCAGTATGGATGCAAAAATATTAGAGAAAAGCTATGCAAGAGTATTTGTTGCTTGAGGCATTAAATGTGAATGAATGTAATTGAATTGAAATGAAAGCTTTTATACCTTTGTTCCATTAGTTAGATTGGGCTTGATCAATCAAATGGGCTGCCATATGATTGGGCCTTGCATTAATTGACTTGGCAAATGTATTGAAGGGTTGTACCTTGCCTATTGGACTTTTATTATTTTCATTTGTGGACTGGGTCCAATTGTAAGCATTTTGGACCCCAAACAACTTGCCCCCCAGACCCGATTCGTGAGGATAACGGGTCGGGTTTCAGCAGCTGAAGGCTTTGGAGGGAAATAAATGAAAATAATTTAAATGTTTTTGATAATACAGTACAGTTAATATAACCGTTAATGATGATTAATTAACCTTAATGACGGTTAACTAATGATAGTGGGGAAGTGGAGTGGACTTAGTGGAAAATTAAATTTTGGCGGTTTGTAATTGGTTTGAGAAGAATTTGAAGAGTTTGTAAACTGAAATTAAGTGAGTGGGTCTTTGCACCAAGTATTTAATTTTCATTTCGCATAATCATTTATGGCATTCCCAAATCAAATACTCCTCGCATTTCACTCTCACTTTTCCAGCGAACTCGCACTGGTTTCCTTTTCCCTTTCACCAATTTCCGCCCTTTCCGAAGCTTTTCAGCAGAATTCATTCCTCCGAATCACTAAATCGGCGAATCCCGAGTCAGATAAAGGTAATTTTCTCCGAATTTCATTCGGATTTCCCCTTCTTTTAAGCTATTCCCCCTTTTTTTTTGGTTTTTTCGTGTCGCCGTCGATTTTACAATGGTCGGCAACCCTGGTAAAAGGCCTATGGAGCCTGAAGACGAGACTATGGAGGAGGAAGTACCGCAACTAATTCTGAAGAGGAACCGTCCTCTGCCAGTAATGTCGTTTTTGAGCGGCCGAAACCCTAACGCCCGAATTGAGGTTGGTTCGTCCTCGAGGGGGGAAGGATTAAGGGTTATTCCGCTAAACAGTGCCCCTCCTAGAGAGCCAGCCGAGGCTAGCACTTCTGGCCGAAGGGCTCCCACCAGATCTTGGCCCTTAACCCCTGAAGAGAGGGAATGGACCGATGAATACGAGAACTCTGGTCTGCTGAAGACCGAGCCAGCCGAATGGTGGCTTGCAAATGATACTCGGTACCACTTTGCCGAGCAGCTAGAGGTCTACTATGGCATAATGGAAGCCGATAGGTATTGGTGCCGAATGCCCACAGTGCTGGAGAGGATCTATCGGGCCCCTCCTGGTTATATTGGGGTCTATGTTCGGCAACTGCAGTTTGGGCTGCGGTTTCCAGTGCACCCCTTCGTCATCAACGTTCTAAATGGGTACAATATTTCATTGGCCCAGTTAACCCCTGTCAGCATCAAGAGAATCATGACCTATCTTTGGGTATGTATCTTCTACGGGCTGCAGCCGAGCGTTCACTGTTTTCGGTGCATACATAAGCTGTCGCCGAACACCCAGTCCAGCAGAATACATGGCCGAGGCTGGTGCGAGCAGTGGATTTGGGTGCGAGCTCCTTCGGATGAGAGCCACCCTAATTACTTC